TAAGTAAAGATCATGTTCCATGAAGATATTTTGTAAATTTCCTACTGTAAATATATTAAAACTTAATTTTTGATTATTAATATGCATTGCTAAGGACTTCATTTGGACAACTTTAAAGGCGATTTTCTCAATAATTTCGATTTTTTTTGCACCCTCAGATTCCAGAATATTGTCCTATCATAACAAACCATACATCAATGGAAGCTTATTTATTCAGTTTTCAGATGACGTATACATCTCAATTTAAAAACAAATTGACTCTTATGACTGCTTTTGTGGTCCAGGGTTACATATAAAGAATAAAATCAAGGAGTTGTGACAGGTGCTGTTTCAACAGAGAATAGTTTATGTTTGTTAATGTTAACTATATAAAATAATAATTAAATAAGTAATTGTTAAAGCTAATATAAAATATAAATATTAGATTAAATTTTTCAACTTAAAAATAAAATAATCAACTAAAAGTAAAACTAATATGTAAAATAACAATGTAAAAAACTAAATTAAATAAAGATAAATAGAAATATTAAACAAAAACTAAGAAAAAATGACAAAAGCACACAACTAAATTACTAAAACAAACTAAATTAAAATTAAAAAAAAAATTAAATATAAAAAAGGTAATTCAAAATAGTATTAAACATTATAATAGTATATAAATTATACTGTATTATAATAATACTGTTTGTAAGTGATAGCGCAAAATTACCTGTGCTGTTTGTCATAAATAAGCAAGGACAATAGCTAAATAATTTTAAATAACTTTATTTAAAATTTCAAATATTTTTAAAATAAAAATAATGCAAAATTTCATGGGCAGTTAAAATATTTATTGATAGTAACTTTACAATTAACCCACCACTGGCAAGTGTTAATTGTGGACCCCAACTGATTATAATAATCACAATTTGATGTTAGCACAATTATGGAAGGAAAGTGTTTTCCCAGCCCCTGCACACAAACAAATACAGACACACACAAACAAACACATACACATACACATACACATACACATACACA